TGCAGACTGTCATCTTACTTCAAAAGAAATGCTGTCCCTTATGAAATTGCACACCAACAAAAATAATTTGAAGTAGTTAAAAACACATAATTGTTTCTTAACATTACAATATATACCCCAAAGTCCCTTCTCAAGAGATTCCTCTGTTTCCCTCCTGTACAAAGTCAGTATTGTTTTTAATGGAAAGTACAAGTTTGGAGTCCCTTGGGTTTTTGGCATATAAGAAAAATTAAGTTAGTCAGAATTCTTTGACTATTGAGGTTCTAAGCTAATTTCCATTAACTACAGCAGATCACTTCTAAAGAAGGAGGAAAATCTAAGCAAACAAAAAAATAAAAGTCAACCCACAAGAAAATCCTTTATAAGGGCTGAAAATAAAACATTTATTTATCATGAATTAAAAAAATATGTTCTTTTCCAGCAAATGTGAAATCATGATATCACATTGATATCAAGATGATGATTCATGTTTTCCTCAAAACCAGTTATTTTTATGTGGATGTATATGTCTATATATAATAGAATATATCAGTGTTTGCCACCCAGAATCAAGTTAGATAACCTCAGAAACAGCTTGTTCAAAGTAAGAGATACTTACCAATCTAGTTTCAACACTCATCATCAAGATATATATCAAGTATTTGTTTGTTTTCTAATCATAAATACATACTGTTGTAACCACCTAAAATTATTTAGGTGTTCAGTGCGAGTATAAATATGGATCAGTACAAGATGATAAGAAAAGGTTGCAATGCTCTTTCAAAGTAATTGAGTTTTCTGCTTTAAAGAAAATAGCCAATTATAATATATATCCAATATCAGCATTTTTAAATTGTGTGCATAAAACTGAAACACAAATAGTATCAATTTACCTACTTATATAAGTAGAGCAGACTATTTGCATATGTATTTCAGATTACATCAGGGAAGGAAGATTCATTGTTGGCTTGATGGACCCACTTCCTCTTCAAGTTTTTTTTTTTTTTTTTTTAAAGTCTAAATCTTTGCTAATTACTGAGTTCTGTATGCGAATCTTTCATTCAGCTAACACAGGTATTAAAAAACCCTAAAATATACATATATATGTATATGCTGTAGGTTCAGAGAACAAAAGAGTCTTCTAGTTAAGACTAGTTGCAATTCATGCTAAATTCAAATGGTTTACCTCCCACCTGTTTCCTTTGGTAACATATAGAGAATGAAAGGATACTCATGTTTGACACCTTGCTTCATTGAATCATCTGCTATTTCAAACAAAAAGAACACCTTTGCCTTAAGAGCCATGTTTTGCACGTCACAATATCTGCAAGCATGATACAAAATAGCAAACACACTGTCAAGCCCTCCAATACTTAATTTTGCCAAAGCTTGTATATATATAGACATAGCTAGCAAGATATTACTAATTATTTTCTTAGATACTCAAGATACTTTACTGATGAGAAAATAATGCATAACACGTATATACAGTGAACAGGCATAGTATGTCCAGTAGTGAAGGTTTATGGCTACAATCTAACGTTTAGGCCCAAACATTGCTTTCTGAGACCAGGCAAAACTTCCACTGAAGACAGTCAAAATGATATACACGGAAAGCTAGAGCATATGGCTCTTACTGCTTAACACATACACACATGCTTAAAACACAAGCATGCAGAATATTGTACATTGTGTGATACATACCAATATAAAACACTAAAAACAACTTTATGCTCTGGAGAACAATGATAAGTTTTTACAAAATGTTCAGCAGTAATGAAATCCAAAATTTGAAAAATACAGGAGATGAAAACCAAATTCAGTGGAAGACTGAATTTGTTCCAAAGTACCTTAAACATTACAACCAAGTTGTGCTAGCTGAACTATTACAATGTCTTTGTAATACACTTCAGTGCATATGTTAGAGTTCTCACTTTTTAGAATTACAATAATAAAAGATGCTTTGCTTAATTTTTAGAATAGATTAGAACAGGACAATGATGTTCAATGCAGTACCTAAAAGTGGTATTTTAATGTTTAATCGTGGAGAGGGTTTATTTTTTAACTAATAATTTAAAATAATCTTACCATCCAAAAATAAAAGTTTTCCAGAAATTACTTTCAACATTTTAAATTCTTTGATGCCATGAAAAGTAAAAAGATATCATTATTAATACACAAGAAGGGTGTACACTGCATAGTGTGTATCACACAGTAACAGTAACCTACAGTTAGGAGGGAAATATTTCACTTTGCAAGGAAGCACTATAATTTCTACAAGTTCAGGAGAAAATACCTTTTTCTGACCCAATATTTTTTCTTTGTATTTGCTACATATGTGCATTTATACGTATGCCTAATTTTAAACATGAAAAAAAATGTGGCATAGATATGCTCATTTGTTCCTTAAAACCTTTTGAGTTAATACCTTTTACTTTGCACTTGCAACAAGTTCAAAGAGCACACGTGGTCAATTAACAAAGCTCAGCTTAAGCTGTATTCTCTCTTTATGATCAAAAGGATATACCTCTGTCCCATGTTTAAAAGCCTTTAACCTGCTTAGGCTTTTGAGTCCAACAACACTTTTCAAAGTGGGACTGAGAAGTTGGCACTTTTGAAAAAAAAAGTTTGCCTAACATTTACATAAAATAAATTTAAGCAATACTGCTACTTTAAATTTTGAGGGACTAAAACATGTAATGGGGCAGTCAGTTAAAGTCAATTAAAAAAAATGGATGACTTCAAGCCATTTCAGACATTTATGTTCCCAGTCTCACCGTTTTAATTATTATTTTCCTATTTTTAAAATGGTTTTGTCCATCTCAACCATATGAATAACCCAAACAAATAACGCAAACTTAAGAACTGAACAAATGACTATGCTGGGGAAGCAGTGAGAATGACTGAAAGAAGTAGTCAGATGCCTAAGAGAAACCCGCTAATTAAAATAAATGTTTAGAAAATTTTGTTGTTGTTTTTTTTGTTTGTTTCTTTTTAAATAAATTGAAACTTGAATCTCTATCCAAGCCCCTGAATTCAGCAGTGGTTCACTACTATACTGCATTTTACAAGATGAGATCATTAACTGTTAAACAGCTGCACGTGCACAAACACTTTCAATCAAATATATGACTGAGGCTGACAAAGTACAATACAAAAAAATGTGTACACAATAATAATTTCTATACCCGTTTCTACTCAAACACAGTTATGCTATTAAGTATGAAGCAGAACGTTTACCTCTCGGTTTCTCATACATCATGTTTACATTTTCAGAAGCATGGTTTATACTGATATATGCAGAAAACGTTCATACAGGCAATCAGTGAGCTTTGTCCAAAGCTTTCTAAGTGATGGCTTCTTACCTATTTGTTTTGAAAACACCTTATTTCATTTGGTCTTAAGTAATGCCACAATTAGGCCCTAATCTACCATTACCTTTCCATACACTTAACATTACCAGTGGGTGGATCTTATAAAACAATACAAGTTCTGCACTACTGATTGTAGAACCAAATCTCTGAATTCCTTCTCTGGGTGGTGTATGTCGGTATCATTCAATAAGCTTCATGAATTTTTAAAAACTTGGGAGAAACCTCCAGCATTACTGCAATAAAATCAGGAAACGCAGAAAAAATTTGGACCCGAGTAATAAGTCAAATGTCAACTGCTTCTCCTGTAGCAAACGTATTTAGTTAAGCAATTATACTTAAACATCTATAAAAATCAAACAAATGCAAGCTATCTGTCCTCTGTTTTATCTTGGGTTTGGATCTTGAAATAGCCACAGCACACACTTCCATCAACCAAAAATTTGGCCAAAATGAGACAGAACGTTATTACTGGTAGCATTGTACCTGTCTCCACCCCTCTTTTTTCCACATCTGTTAAGGATCCCAATACCTTTCTCCATATACAGAAGACCAACTGTATTATTTAAAGTAGGAAATAACACGTTCATAAGCAAGCATTAAAAAAAAAAATCTGAATTCCTTTCAACTCTCCTTACCTTTTTGAAATGACAGTTTATTCCCCCAATATAAATCATTACATCTTTGGCATAAATACCCCACATCCACTTAGAACATTCCCATTCATCCACACACCAAACACTGGTGCAGACATATTTCAAGGCCTGCTAGTCTAAGGCAGAAGCTGTGTTTCCACAAGAACTACACAATGTAGTAGAGCATATAAAATACAGACAAATGTATTTTAATTCAAAAGGCTTATTTTAACACTAGCCAAATTCCTATTAAACAAACATTGCCTTTGCACACTTGCGGCTCAAAAATAACCTCTGTTTTAATTAAAGAGAAATAATACAATAGATTTTATTTCCAAAGGTATTAAAGATCCTGTTATCCTTCAGCATACCTAGTTACTCTTCAGCTTCATGGATGCATCTGGGTCTTTATGTTTTCTTTCTCCTTTTGCTTTAAAAATTAATTCATAGTCTGGGCATAAGCCCCTTATCCCAGTTTACCTCATTAAATAAAAATCACAAAAAAAATGCAACCGGTGACCCAACCATCTTTCCAAGGCTCACAGAACAATGCAGATATTAAAGCCTGTCACCATCAATCTGCAAAGCGACTCCCCGTGCGAGTTCTTTCATCAATCTGCTTCCTTACCATCACTCTCCTACACCCATCATCGCCGATATCCCCCCAAAACCTCCTCACTCACCAACCATCCTTTCTCTCTCCATTTTGGAAGACCGGGTTCCCTACCATATCAAACCCACCCATAGGAACCACAATTATTTACCCAGCTACAAGCACCTCGGCTAAGCCTGCACACGGGTGCACACACAGAACGCGGCGGAGAAACGAATGGATCCCCGCCGCCATCGCGACGGCCGCCCCGCGGCGAAGGTGGCGAGCGCCCGGGGAAAACCGAACCGACCGCACTATGTAACGCGCCAGTGGGGCCAGCCGGGGGGAGCCCGGGGCGGCGATGTATGGGCTGCACCGCCAGCGGCACCTAAGGCGTGTGTGCCGACGGCGGCCCGCACTCACCCAGCAGCAGCAGCTTCAGTTCCCGACGGGCGTCCCGCTTGTCCCGGCGCAGCTGCCGCTCGATCTCGTCGTTGATCCGCCGGGCTTCCTTGGCTTCCTCGCTCAGGCAGCACGCCATGATGGACTCCAAAGTCATTCTTCCTAACTGGTTCAGACACAACCCCCACCCTAAAAACGCGCATACACACACACACACACACACCCCACCAGAGCACCAGCCCCGGGGGACACAGACGCTCTCTGCCCGGGAGCTCCCACCCGGGCACTGCAGGGCAAGCGCAAAGAGCTGCCTCGATGCCACACACGGGCAAGGAGAAAGAAAGCGCCCCCGCCCCCGGCAGCACAGATACCCCGTTCCCTGCCTCTAGTAGTCGCCGCTTCCAACTCCTCCTCTCCTCTAAATTACGCACCAAGTAACATGAAGACATCCACCATAGCAGCCGCGGCGGCAGGAGTGCTATCTAGGCGAGCCAAGCTGCTCGGCACAGGCACCCACCCCACTCTT